AAATGATAATTGGGGACCAATTATGATACAAAACGTTGAATACTTTAATACCTTCCCATTTTTGCTGTAAATCCTTCACTGTTCTATACCTCTTCAAATTCAAATGAATCCACCGTAACTTCAAGTGAATCCGTTGCAACTTGAATTGAATCCAACCAATCGCATTTCAATGAGAACCCTACAAGATGGTTGATGTTTCGGCCGTCAACCGTCACTGATTGGACTGCCCAGTTCGAATGAACTCACTTCTCCGAAAATAAACAAAATTACTTTTTGAGTGAGTCACCGAACGAGGATAAAAGTTTCCGTTGAGTGGTGTGGTGTGGACTGTTCGTACCCCTCACCCCCGCCTCACTCTGAAACGTTATGTCCGTGATAGATGATCGAGTGTGCATCATATACGCGAATGAACGAACCCCGCAGTACCTGACCTCTGTCGGTCGGGTATGGAAGCGAATCACGACAAACTGGATCGATAAATCGGTCACCATGCACACACGTGAATGTTGGGATAGATAATGAATGGATTCAGCCTAGGCCCTTAATATTCTAATGAGTAACTTCCATTGGGATCGTGATTCTCTCAACTAACACCGATTCCGTTGAATCAAATGCCATTGACTACGTATAAACTGGCTTATGTAAATTTTCACGCTGAAATGTTTCTTCGTTTTTACGGATTCTCGGTGTCCTATTCAGTATCACTTAGGTAACTTTTTGTCGTATCTCTAATCTTATCTTTTTAATGGCGCGTATGCCAAAGTAAAAGTAATAACATTCTGTTCACTGAAACTTCTGTCCGCATTGGGTGAATAAAGTGTACTCTTGACTTGAATTGAAAACTACAGTTGACACAATACTTATAAATAGTACAAGAATACAGTGAAATAATGAACAGTATCTCACTTAAATAGTGAGAAAAAATTCGAACCTATCCACTAGCTAACAGAAATCAGTTTTTTCTCCGCTATTCGATCTACGATACCAATGGCAATCTGTCACCTGCAGGTTCTTCTTCGCAACTCGACTTCATCGCGTAGGTTCTTATCCTTATTGTATCATTGATTAACCCGTCGCATCTTTTCACATTCTGATTGAATGCTTTCGATCCCGATAGTTTAGTGAATTAGACAGGTGATGATAAGAATGAGTTAGGGTTATCCGTAATGCCACAAACGAAGATAACCTTGTACTAGGTGCTCCATGGGGTATTAACTTCAAATGGGCAAATTATTCTACCAACGGGTGCCCTAATAATGATCTGCGATTTTCTACAGCGTGAGGAAGACTGACGAATCAATGAAGAATCCGGGAAATATGTTACAAAAGCGCATCCGCGATACCACTGAATGTTGGATAAGAGAAATGGTTCAGTGGTACCAATGATGCCAATTTGCAGCATATTTCCCGGATGAGTGGTACCACGAAAGATTGTGTAAACGGGCTACATATCATATAGGCGGAAAACAGTAAACAATTTTCTACTCTGAATTGAGCTGGGCGGTTGAGAACACAACTCTTTTCACGTCATCACTCAACTAAGTTGTAGTCACTGGCTTCTTCCGGATTATATTTATTTCAGTCTGAACCAGTTCGGTTTGTAGAAAATTTCGCATTTTTTCACGGATAAACTTGTTTTTATTTTAGGGGATTGAGACGGTTGATTTGTTCGCACAATTTCCGAAAACTCAAACTTGATGTGTTCAGCCAGACCAAATCTTTGTTATTTTCTGTCCCTCTTGCGTTGATTGACAATTGAGTCGTTTTTAGCAAACAGTGAAAGATCGAGGCAGAGCGGTCGGTTCCGCACCAGGTACACAAACAATTGAGGGGGTCTGTGAATTGACCTATGGGTTGTGACCACACAATTGTGATACCTTTTTTTCTCTCCCTCTCCTCATTTACTATCTTTTTCTCATACTTTCACATCTATTTCATTCATTCTTGAATACCACCTTTCATATCGTGTCCGATTCAAACATCTTATATTGCTTTTCCCTATCCATTTATCGTGATCCGATAGACTGTTCTCCACACACATTCACTACCAGTTTAAGCCTTGTATTTATTTATATTGTTTTTCAGCCTTTCAGTACATGCAATGTACAGCCGTTTTCACAGTTCTGATAGGCTTACAGACTCAGG